TGAGGTACACCAAAATAGTTGACTCTTGCTTGAGAATCGAATTTTATTACGCTGTTACTTTTTTTGTCAAATTTAGTTATTCTAGTAAGCTGTTTTCTATTTTGCAAATATGATCGAAACCACGACAGTGATGAGCCTCTAATTCCACAATTTGCCAATTTTGAAAGGAGTAAGGAATGATCTACAAAGTCAAATGCTTTACTCAAGTCTAGTAGTAAGGCGGATGTGGGAACTCCATTGTTAATATTATTAATAATGCTGTTTACTAATGTGTAGGTGGCCAACTGTGTAGATCTGTATCTTCTGAAACCAAACTGTTCCTTTGCTAAGATGTCATATTTATCCAAGAAATTCAAGACTCTTTTGTACATAATCCGTTCAAATACCTTGGATATAACAGGGGTAAGTGCAATAGGTCTGTAATTGTTTCTATCGAGTTTTGATCCTTTTTTGTGTAGAGGTTTTATTATTGCCAATTTTAATTTCTCTGGAAAACATCCTTGTTCTAGTGAAAGATTAATTATATGTGCCAACGGTTCAGCTATAGACCTAGCTACAGTTTTCAACAAGATTGAATTAATGTCGTCATATCCTGCGGACTTAGAATTTTTCAAAGAATTAATTGTATTAAAAACTTCATTTGGATTCGTGGGACTTAAAAAAATACTATTTGCATTTGATTCAACATTATAAATATAGGGTTCCTTGCTAGTATGTGTATTCTTATGCACTATATTTATAAAAAAATCATTAAATGAATTGGCTATGTCCGACCCAGTGGATGCCAGATTATCACCATCGATAATGTTCTCGATACATTCACCACTACAATCATTATCACCCACATAACGTTTAACTATTTCCCATGCAGCTTTGCCTTTATTTTTAGAATTAGCAATGTACTTAAGATTGCTAAGACTCTGAAAGCTAGTGATACACCTCCTTAGTAATTTCGAATATTTTAAATAAGATTTTTTATTTACTTTGTTTTTATTTAAGTAATAGTTATAACGTAAGATTCGTTTATTTTTACAACTGATTTTTAACCCTTTTGATATGTAGGTTAATTTGCCACGTCTGAAACTCTTTTTTACTTTTATCAATGGGAAGCAAAGCTTATAAAACAATGTCAACTCGCTGTGAAGTGCATCGAAAGCTTCGTCTGTATCCGTCATATGATAGATTTCTGAAAAGGTAATGCTACTAATGCAATCAACAAACTTAGCTAAGTTACTTTTTCCAAGGTCATATGTTGTTGTAAAGTAGTGCCCAGCCATATGATCTTGCGGTTTGATCAGAAAGTTAATTGTTTGAGCTGTGTTGTGGCGTGGTTGATTATAGCGTTTATCGTAATAGGAAGTTATAGCCCTACTGACTCATAAACAACAGTTTAAAAGTGTTGATAATCATAAAATGCGTTAGGCGTCTGATTATATACTTAATATTATCATTATTCCTATAAAATGAACTCTATGTAGATAAGTTAAAATGCTAAATATAATGTAATCAATAACTTATAGTTTCCATCTTTATCCAGTTGTTATTGTTGGCACAGTAAGCTCTCGTTTTACATAATATTATTCCCAGCGATATACTCCGGATCTACGGCTAAGGCACAAATAACTCGGAATGGAATATTTATCTTTCCATTTGAAATGTAAGTTGCGTTCATCTTGTATTATATTAGGATTGTGTGCCTGTATTATCGCTTGTTACCAGTTATAGCTTCCGATGTGTTGCGAATATTGTTAGGGTTGCCCAAAAAATGGACTTCCAAATCCCAAAAGTTGTGAAAAAAGGGACTGATAACTTCAGCGTTTCCGTTTCCCATCCTTGATTTGTGAAAAACGTAATAATATATTACGAGGTATTGTGTGGATGCTGTATCTCCGTTTGTTTACCTGCTCCGGGAATTTCTGCTTCTTTTTACTTTTTACCCCTGTTGTTTGATCTTTTGTCGAAATTATGTCTTTATAGTTGTTTGGACTGTTACTTTCATGCTACAAACAGACTAAAGAAAAACACGCTCGAACGATTCGGAATGCTTTTGATCTGCAATAAAACATTTTATACTATTAAACATGCAGAATTTCTACGAAATTGCGAACGGTAATTTATGTGTTCATTCCAAACATTGTCAGAATAATATTATAAAAATGCTACGCCAAAATAAATAACAGTTTGTTAGATTGAATTCTCATATTCCAATCCCACATCATAGCAGACTAGCCTTTTCCATTTATTTCGCGGCTTTGCGCCGTCAAAACAAATCTATATTATTTATTCTGGGGTTTAGCCGTTTAGCTGCTGTTTGTTTTTGTGTACGGATACCCCGATACATTTACATGTACGTTGTACGTGCATAGCTGAGTGTAACCCTGACACGTGTATGTGGGTACGATAGCTGATGGAGCGTGAATGGGTCGCGCCGGATCCGTGCTCCGGTGAGCCCATTGTCGTCTTCCGCGTTGCATTACTGCATATAGTACCTACATACAGTGGTACTGCTATATACTGTCTGTTTGTACATATACTAACACAACTACACGTGCACCATCCGCACGTTAATTACTTCCAACTCAGATCCAACGTCAGATCGAACAGGATATGATTTTAATGGCGTTGAATTCGTATGTGATGGCCCATAAAATCGTAGTCATAATCTCTGTACCTACCGCATAAATGGCATTGTGTATAAAATATTATTATTCTGCTTGAAACCTAAAGTTGCTTAGATATAATAAATACGCCGTTCAATATAAGAAGTGTTCAGAGGAAAAAACTCATAAGTAAGTATTTGTTGTAAAACTTTAGTGTGGCAGTTTGTGCCGTCGTAAAAATCCTTTAACAGCCGCACAGTTTGATATCAGGGAACATTCTGGAAGTGTAACTTTAGCTGACTCATATCCTGATATCGTACGGGTTATCCACAAAATTTATGCAAATTTTTCCCTTCCAGGGATCCTATAAATTTTAGGTACCTATACCTTCATAACGCAATGAATGAGTAAGCGGGTTTTCACTTACCTACAGCCTGCGAAATTTGTTCCTCAACTGTTATCACCTACAAGTAACAACAAAGTTGATTAATTTAAGGAAACTCGTTACTTAGCTACGTTCAGAAGCTTGTGAGGAAAATTTAACATACAAATGAGCTGATAATACGAATACCGCCTCCAGTGTCGGGGTTTCTCTATCATATTAATGTTAACATGTTGCGGCATTAAATAAATCAATAATGTCGGCTTATCTGGATTAGTGTTATCACACAGTGGCACCGAATCACATTTTTAGCATTTTTACTGTATCTTTGAACGGATTAAAAACGTGCAAACAATCAGAAAGTGATTAATAGTAAATACTTTTTACTTATAGGATAATAGGGTTCACAAAACAAATAAGATAAATTGCTAGATATTTACTTCCAAAACTTGTGACGTGTCTGCCATCTTTCATCAATAAATGTCAAAATAAGCACAAATAGGTGTATCATAAATTATAACAATGTCCCCTAAACAAGTTGTTTCCTTTGCCTTAAAACTTTGACAATAAATTATATTTTGTCCTTTTAAAATGTTTGTCGTAGGATTTAAAACGCTTAGTTATAACTTATTACTCAGATGATGTTACATTCCTTCAGAGTGTTTGTTGTCAGGAATAATATATACATATTTTAATTTGGAGCTAATTACTTGATTTTATTTCCTTATTTCAATCAAAATATCGGAATACAATCGTTTTGTTATCGAATATAATGTTTGATAGATACACCCGTATTAGCAAAAGATAAATTATATTATTTTGAACTTGGTATTCCCAATTTTATGTTTGTAACCACTTGTTTACGTAGATACCTATTCCAAAGAAACGTCTATTCAAAACAATATGACAATGAAAACAAACATTTGTAAGCGGTGTTTATCACGTCGGGTAAGACGTAGCTAACTGGGAGAAATGGAGTATTATGTAAATTTTCGACAGCTCTACTTTGTTAATATACCGTCAAAGAAAAAGAGGAAAAACAGTCTGCTATCAAAATGTACATAAAATATTTATGCGAGTACTTTTCCATTTTTTAGATTAAATATCCGAACCAGCTTTGCTTTTTGAGTTTTCTTTAGTGAATTTACACCTTGTAACATTTATGTTTATCGCAAATGAATTAAAAAGGTTTCTGTTATCTTTTCGAGGATTCGTTGTTTTTTTGCATGAGAATCTTTCTTTTTAGAGCATACTCAAGCCTTGTCCAAGTATTTAATGTACTTATCATGATTCGGACTGTATCATTCATGGTCGCGCTAAGAGATAAGGTACTTATATTTATACCTCAGGGGAAAAACAAACTTTAGGTATAACTGAAGAAATTACTCAACTACATACAATAACAATGACGCATATGAATACATAGTTGACTAGGGCAACAACAGCCCACGTAGTACCTTCTACCTATGTATATGTTTAAATATGGTAATACATTTTCCGAACTGAATAATGTTTATTAATGAGGATTTAACAGTTTGCCTAAAGGATAGAATAAATCTGTCTGATAGCTAGATTTAAATATTACCTACGATTTGGATACAGAAATATCTCAATTTACTACGAAAGCTTTTATTGAATTTTCCGAGAAAGTATTTAGAAAGGAATCCTGGTATTTGGGTGCGAACTGTGAAACATTTTTACTTAAATATTTGACGCGAGTTCAAATAACTGAAGAAAATTCTTTAAAAGGCTACGATGACAACGTGATGTCTTCTGGAAACATTAATCATAATATTTAAATGGACACTTAAAAGGAAACTGTCCTGTAAACAAAGTACTGCTAATGACTGACTGCATTGATCTAAATGCAATTTTTGAAACGAATATGTTTTTCTAAGAATTGTATAAGGTTCATACACTATGTTCCAGAGAATCCTTGAAACTACTTAAGAATAACACTAGCAATAACAACTAAATACCTAGTATTTGTGATTAACCTTCCTGTTTCTTTTTTCCAGGGAACAAAATTATGGATTATAATGGAATATCTGGGCGGGGGGTCGGCGCTGGACCTGATGAAGGCTGGCAGCTTCGAGGAGATGCACATAGCGGTGATCCTCCGGGAGGTGTTGCGAGGCCTCGACTACCTGCACTCAGAGAGGAAGCTGCACAGAGACATAAAGGCTGCTAACGTACTGCTCAGTGAAATGGGCGACGTCAAGCTGGCTGATTTCGGTAAGTTATCTTTCGTAATCTAGTACTTAGATCCTGGCTTAAATCCAGTACCTTATTACCTATCTAATTCGATTGACACATCACATACAGACGAAGTAAGCACGATTTTTATATACTGACTTAAGGAATACAGTTAACTCTCTGAGTTTATTTTTCTCCCTTCATCATAACAAAATACAGAAAACCATTTCATTTATAACAAGGGTCCAGAAATGGTTTTAGGCGTCTGCTGTTTCACCAGTATTTTAAAAGGGTAACAATTTCGTAGATAAGGAACGGCGCCTCTTGCACTTTTTATTTCCATCCTTGACCGCGTTTTGCCTAACGATAAGTCGTACCCGACCGGGGGATATTCTCAAAGGAAGATGAAAAATACAAACTGATTTCAGAATAACGTCTTTATCGAATGAAGAATAGATTTTGATGCCAGTATTCATAAGGATATGAAAGTTATATAAAAGTTAAGCTTTTCATAAGAAGAACTCTTTGTGGACGGTTTTTCTACCACTAAATGTCTTTATAAGAGTCCAACTAAGACTTTTTGACGTCGACTTTTATTTTGTGTGGTGCAAAAAGTATGATATAGGTTTTCAACGAAGACATTTCTGCTGTCAACAATTTTATTATCAACAACGCAAATTGTCATTTTAAGTAAAATTATAAAATCAGTTACATATTGGTCGTATTAGCATGCATCGTTGTAAGCCCCTCGTGACAGTAATCTGGCGGTGACATTAATGCCATGAATGCTCTAATATAATTAACATAATTGTAGCCGTGACAACCCATCAACCGTTAAGTGTCAAGTGCGACTGATTACATCACTATAGACTCAAGATTATCATTTGTAGCAGTCTTAAGAGCACATTCTTATGCATCACTATAAGGCCATTAATATGTAAATGCTTCTGCATAAATATTAACTTTCTTTAGCTTCGTTCTTGCACATCTGTCAAGGTTTTTCCACCCATTAATTTGATTCAGAACACTAAACAGTAGTGATACAGAGTTTCCAACAAAATCGTAACGGATGGACGGCTACTCCTGCGCACATAAAACGAACCAAGCATGCAGTTTGAACATGAAAACCATTCACAGTGGATGCTTATCTTAGAAATATATCGATGATGAAGAATTTAGAGCAATTGTATGTAGAGTTGTGATTCTGCACGTTCCAACATCAATTGTTATAAATGATCTTTGAATGATATTGATTTCTTTGTCGTATGGTGACAGTGTACTTATATTACGTAGTTAGATGCTGTTGCCTCTCTCGACGTAATGGTGTCAACTTTTACGACACCCAAGGGAAGAGGTTACAACAGCTAACACTGTCTGACTATACATAATTGACGATAATTTAATCAACACTGAAGATTGTGTGTTGTTGATGAATGGTGTCGTAAACCCGCGTGACCTACTTACTTAGTTCGACGATTAAATATAAATGCGTGTTCTAATCAATAAATATCATTGCTTGCCCGTTAATGGCACCGTCTGCATTTAATAGCTATAATTTAGCGTTGAATTTGTATGTTAATAAATCTAGCTGTCTCAGCTTTACGTAATTAACCGCATCTATAAAAGCAGATTATAAGAAATTTCGGGAGCGGAGCTATTTATCAAGGCCTAAATCTTTTAATAAGTTTCTGGAGTGTCATCCAGGGAAATATTGTAAGGAAGGGCGAAAATAAGTTTTGGTCAGCTAGAGATGGTATCTTTGGGAATTAAATCGAGATAACAAGGCCGAGGATAACTTAATTTTGTCATAAACCAACCTCGTTCACAAGAAAATATTATGACTAACCTGTCCGTTTCTCTGGCAAAATATTTGACGCTTACGACTGCATTGTGTGCTGTAAGTTTTAAAAAACATGTCAGAACTACAATATGGAAGCTTGCATTATAAGTTAAGCGCGCATTATGGCCATGAATTCTGGCTTGAGGCCAATGTTTGAACCGTTTGCGGGGCAACTGTGAGCCGTGCCAAAGTAAAGTGAACGCCCTTTTGCTTCGGGAAGAGAGACGTGAAGATTTTCTGGCTCTTCAAACATCCACGTTTACTGGATCTGGCTGTGTTTGTTCGTACAACACGTGTAGAATTTTAAAGAAATAATCCGTTTGCAATTCTAGTTCTTTGTAGTGATCTTTGACACATGGAATAAAGCCTTTGAATGTTTTTGAAGTAGGTTAACAGTCAAGTGGCGCTGAATTTTAACTGTTTACGTTTATAGCCACTCAAAGCTTTAACCTTTTGGTTTATGTCTACGAATTCGTTCAACACGTCATATTGACGGGTTTTATGGGCAGAGAGCTAGCTGCTTTATCGATATTCTTGTAGTACCAATCTGTACCAAAGTACCAATGCAGTTTTTGATCGACTCTTTGCTTAACCTTGTTCAAAGTTGCTACCATAGAAAATGTTAACTATAATTTATAATCTATCGATATGTATGTTTGCATTAAGTCACACCGATGCTGTACAAGGAAAATAAAAGTAGGTATTAATGGTTGTTTTACTCTAAATGGAAACAAACAGTATGAGTCACAAAATACCCCGCATGACTGTGCCGGACCTTTCGAAAGCTTCCGATGAGGCGCTATCGCTATAAAAGACTATTAATATTTAGTACAAACATTTTGCTTTTCATACTCCCTTGTTACCACCCAAAATAATTATATTTTATCTCACGCTATTTTTGTAGATCGAGGCGGTACAAAAATATCGCTATTTTAAAAGGGAAATTGTGTCAGCTATACGAAATATCAGAAATATAAGTACTCCGTCTTATCATTCGAATCAATGAAACAAAAATAATGCTAAACATTTTGAATCCTAAATGAATTGTTGTTTTGGGGAAAATTAATGTTAGTATTTAAAATTATCCTTACCTCATTACATTGTGTGGTTTTCCTTGACATACGCACGATGACCAACAATTGATAATAATGCTGGTTAATATAAAAGGTCTCATTTATCAATTTTAATGTCCCCGTGTACCTGACATTTCGCCCAGAACGGATAATATGACCCGTATTACGACCCGAAGGGTGAATGTGACCACAGATGATGTTGAACCAAAAGACGTCTTAATGTATGAATTAATTTTTAATGTACGTCAAGTTTATTACATTCTACTTTATGGTTTTGTAATAAAGGTAGATACTGATTGAAGATATTTGGCATTTTGGAGTAGCTTTATGGACTGGTGTCTGTACTAGTGCAGTCTCCTAATTTTAATATACGTTTGGTAGAATAATAAATAATGGCCACATTATTTTATCGGAACCACTATTCTACCTACAAAAGTATATATTTTCCTTTGATACCTAGCTATTTTTATCGCCATTAGTTAGTCACATATATGATACAACTGTCGTCATATCATAAGCTTCCTTATGCGGATTATTTTATGAAATACTTACTGCATAAGGTCAGGCTTACGCATCAGTCCGTATCATTCTGTTGTACGTATGTGTGACGTGGACTGTAATAGCAGCATGATTGCTAAGATACTTAAGTTTGAGTTGAAGGCTTCATAATCCTAAGTTTCACTAAACTGAGAGTTGAATAGTACTAAAGCTACTTACTAAAAGTTGCTTGACTTGGTCACATCATCGCAGGGATGGCCAAAATGTTATTTGCACCTGTTTAACTAGTATTTAATACCATATAAGTTTTTATGTTGTCACATGAATTTGGAAGTCTCAAAATTAAACTCGTGTTCAGCAACAAAATTTCACCGTAATAGCTGACTTATCACAGTTTTTCAAAAACTTGCGATCAACTCTTCGATCGTCGTTGGCACTTGGCATACATTCACGTACCAATAAATATCCGTGACAGGTACAGCAAATTAGAAATGTTCGTATGTACATTCGTACATAAATAAACCAAAACAAATTAATCACTCTGTGATTTGTTTGTGTACTTTTTGTTTACTCGTGTTTTTTACTGCGCTGATTAATTTATTGGTATTAGAGAATAAACGTAACAAACAAACGTGTTGGGTTATTAAGACTTTAGCATTAGGTTAGCAAATAAATAATGACTTTAATAAAGTATACTTCATAGCTTTTGCCCACATTTTGTTCATAACCCCGGGTGACTAATTGAGAATTGGAAATAAAGGAGTAGTTTTCCTTATAATTGTTTATTAGGTTTTTTTTATTATAAGACTGTTCAATACGTATTCCAAAAATAATACTCAATTAAAACTAAATTCGGTTTTTTAACGTTTCCAGGTGTGGCGGGCCAATTAACGAACACGACAAGTAAACGCAACACGTTCGTGGGCACACCGTTCTGGATGGCGCCGGAGGTGATCAAACAGTCGTGTTACGACAGCAAAGCCGACATCTGGTCGCTCGGCATCACCGCCATAGAGCTGGCTAAAGGCGAGCCTCCCAACTCAGAGCTACATCCCATGAGGGTGCTCTTCCTCATACCCAAGAACAACCCTCCGCAGCTGACAGGCAGCTACTCAAAACCGTTCAAAGAGTTCGTCGAGGCGTGCCTGAATAAGGACCCAGAAAACGTAAGTAACATAGCACACACGGATTAATTTCCCCGACCGTCGGCTTTCAGTGTTTTTGTTAGAACCCTCCCGAGTGTTTCGGATTACGGCCTGATCCCTTAATCTAGGAGATATGAACGCGCAGTTCATTGCACTAAATATATTGTTTTAGAGATTTTCTGTCCTAATCAAAATTCGTTTTAAACTTCCATTGTTTGTTGTGGTAATTTGATCAAGTTTCGTCACCTAATCGATGTTTTGAATTGTTTCAGAGACCAACAGCCAAGGAATTATTAAAGTTCCAGTTTATCCGGAAGGCAAAGAAGAATTCGTATCTAATGGATCTTATAGATAGGTATAAGAAGTGGAAGGCGCAGCGGAGCGAGGAGAGTGAAACCGAGTCAGAGAATTCAGACTCGTGAGTACATCACATGTTGAACTAAATTCCTTTACAGACGTATCATCAATAACATTTACACAGGCTTCAATTATTTAGGAGATTTCTTTTTTCCGCACGCTTCTCTAAACGATCCTTTATTGTAAACATCATACATATTAATGAAGATACCTTTTTAGCCTGTAACTCTCCAATGTGATTTTAATACAGGAAGCTTTGTCTGCCAAACTGCCGACACGTGCCAGCAATTCACTGAATAATTACACTTAAGCTTTATGAGGAAAAATACATAAAATATAATCATAATATAATTTGGAGCTGTTCGTCTGTTTCATAAGTAATATAATCACGTCAAGTCAACGATCCAAAAATGTTTTGAAACCTTTCAGTTCCTTTGAGCGGTAACGACACGAAAGACGTGAACAAATGAATGCCCTTCTTATTATTCATTCGATTAGTCATAATTCCTATATCCAATTATTGTTGTTTGTTTATTTTGTTTCTACAAACTCACTGCAAGACTTTGTCCACAATATGGCGTAGAGACTTCATAATAAAAAAAGAGGTTCTCAGTATATGTACATATGTATGTATGTTTGTGCGCGTGTATCTCACAATTGGGTGAACCACAGTTTATGCAGTTTCCAGATAAGTGTTTGTTACATTTAGGAGAAGGTATATTAATTAACCGACTTCAAAAAACAGGGATTTGAAGTCTGTTTTTTGAACCTAGTTTTATAAAATAATTAATGAATATTGATGTTTAATGTTTCAGAGAGGAGTGTCGGAGTGGTGACAGCGAGGCAGACGAGCCCTGGATCATGACGGTCCGGGGTGGAGCGCTACAGCCGCCCGCAGAGCGCGACAACAAGCGACGCAATAACCACCACGACGATAATGGTATTTTCACATTCTACTTTTATTCAATATGATGATGATATATAAATGTGAAATAGTTTCGTGACTACTTTATAAGTATTGCATTTGTAAATGTTACGATTGCTAGTTCAGATAAAAGATTTGTCTTTGGAGCTAGTCTAAAATAATGTCATGGATATCACATTCTGCAAAAGGCCAGTCGGAGTATAGTAAATAAGAACCTTTTATTGTTTTAGGGTTCATGCACAAGATTACAGGGTACTCTTATCTACACTTGCATTACAATTGTGTTACCCGACTCTAGGAAGGGTAGTTTTTGGCATGTATCTTGTTGCTAGATTATAATAATGTTGTTGTATGTTACAGTGACAAGTCGCGAGGCGGTGGTGGCCGGCGCGGGTCCGAAGCAGAACGGCGCGGCCCCGTGCGCCCGCGCCCGCGCCCGCGCCCGCGCCCGCGCCGCACGCCGCGCACGCGCCGCACGCACTCAACAACAACACGCCAGACAAACTGCCGGTAACTACACGCCCTACTACTTCAAGTGTGAGAGAATGGGCCGGCTCCACCGGAGTTATACCACGGTCTCATAGAAAACCGACGTGAAACTACGCTTGCGTTGTGTTTCGTCGTGTGAGTGAGGTTACCAGAGGACCAATTACCCCCTTTCCCCAGTCTCCCTAATCCCCGAATGTACAATCCTCAAATTCCCGATTTCCAAACAACCGGTAACGCACTTGTAACGCCTCTGGTGTTTCAGGTGTCCATGGGCGTCGCCGATTACTTACCATCAGGTGATCCGTCTGCTCGTATACCGGCTTATCATATAAAAAAGCGGTAGATTTTCATGACCAATTTTCTCTCAGACGATAACTTGTAAAATGCTTGAGAGTGTTGTATCGTGAAACGCTGTGAACGTCACAAGCGGCGCCCCTGGGGGTCAACCGTCAAAAATACAGACTGCAATCATGCAGTTTGTATTTTTGACGGTTGACTAAACTATCAAGTTTTGATGACAATGTATGGTGTAGCGTCTATATGCTATGTGCAATTTCAATAGACCAACTCAACTGAGGTAGTTCCACCCGCTTACAAAATACCAAAGTGAAGTGGTAACGTAATGGTGCTACGTTTCGTCTGGTAAATGCCAGATCCGGAATGTTCATTCGATTAGCCATAACGTCATCGACAGACATTTAAAACAAAATGCTCTCGTTCCTAAGAAGAGAACGTAAACGTGACGTTTGCATAACAATTTGAAGATGATACCACAAAACCAACTTTAATATGATATAATACTATTTACAGAGCCGGCAGTCGTCGAACGTGCAAGTGAACGCGGAACAAAGGAGCACGAAGGAACGCGAACGCGACCGAGGCGACCGCGACGAACGCAAGGAGAGAACTGAACACCAGCCCTCCAACAGGGATAGCGTAGTCTATAATAAAAACGTTCGTATAACTTAATCTTCTATTCTATTTCTGTTGTTCTAAATGCGAAAATTTGTGAATTAGTATGTATGTTTGTTACTTCATCACGTCAAAACGGATCAAGGGATTGCAATGAAATTCGAAACAGTGGTAGGTTATGGTCTGAAATAACTGATAGGCTTTTTTATCCCTATGGAACGCGGGCCAAGCGGTTGACAGAAGTTAGTCTTAAATAATTTATTATCACTCCCCGATAACCTATTTATCGGTCGTTTGGATTATAATATTCTATTAAACCTTCCAACGGATTTTTATAAAAATAACATTGAATCCCTGGATTATTTCTAGAAATGGATATTTTGAACGTCTCTTGTTTGTGAAATGTAGAAAGAAATTAAAAGAAATAGAAGTTAGATATTTTTAATGATAATTCCTCATGGTATAAGAGAGTTTATGGATGTATTTTAATGATTTCAGGCCACTCCTCTGGACGATAGAGGAAGAAACAGCGAAGAGAACAAAGTGAAGAGGCATCCGTATTTGCAACAACTTATATACCCACTACTCAATGAGGTAACTTAATAACTTGTTCTATAACAAAATTCTAATTAATGACGTCATTGTCCAGTGCATGCAAAGAAGACGCCATGGGCTTGATTCTTCGGTCAGGGGAAATGTTAAATTTTCAATACTCTTAACTAAGACTATATCACACTTTAACCCATAATTCCCCAAGCGGTCACCGGTGACCGCTTTCCACTAATATTACATTACATTATAGACCTTTTTTCTAATGTTTAGAGACTACTTTTGTATGACCAAATTTAGGGGGTGGATTTCAACGGTTAATCCCTGGGCCTTTAGCCAAACGCCACTTTATCGCTTGTCTACAGAGAGAGTAGAAATCAAAATATATGGGGATGACACTGACAAGTGTCAAAATTTACGTCAATTTTTTGTATTCTACATGTAGACAAGCGCTAAATGGCATTTGGCTACAGCTGTTGGTCATTGAATCTCCTCTAACAGATAATGAAAATTTTAAAAAAGTGAATAATATTTTCCATTATCATGCATGAACTTCTTTCGGAAACCTTTGTTTGGTACTCAGCACCAATAACAGAGATATTTTTATTGGAATAAACATAATTATTTATATCAAACCTGTGACTAATGAACCATCTCCCCCCAGCTGTCCCGCAAGCACGGGTCAGGTAGTGCGGCCGCTATAGAGGAACTGCGGCGCGCCTTCGAGCACGCAGAGCGAGCCGCGCCACACCTCACTCGGGCGTTCGTACAACAGGTACGTACTTACTCTAATATAAAAACTGATAATTAGCTATAACTTGTTAAACCAGTCGCTGAATCATGACCTTTTCAATGAGTATCACTCCATTATAGACCTTATTTCCAAATTTTAGAGACTACTTTTGTATGAACGAATTCTGGGTACGAAATATCAAAGTATAGAGATTGGTTTTTTACAAAAACCCCATATAACAACAAGACATGAGGATGAAGGTGATATTTTATAATTTTTTTTATTTCATTCATAGCATAAATGAAAGCTCTATGTCCTTATACGCATTTTGTTCTTTCAAACATTGTCGAAATATGTCTAAAATGAAGATAACCAGTGTACGAAAGTGTTATGTGCAGGAGGTCGGTAGTCGCAAAATAATAATGAGAACTTTAAAACTTGTTCCTGATAATTTATGAACCAGTTAAATATCACCTTCATCAACTTATGTCTTCAACTGTCAAAAATCAATCCTTTACGGTTTACCTGAGTTTATCAGACTATAGCGCTCAGTAACAAACTAAATAATTTGGGATTTGAAATGAATAAGCTGATTCTACCATCGCAATCAGAGGTTGATTTTTGTCCATTCTCCTTGTTGTTGCAAACAAGCACTGTCCCATTTAGGTGGTATTAATTCTGTGAACAAAACAAAACAATCTATCCTGTTGTAAATATTAAGCGAAATAATTGTAACCTAATCAATAAATATGTGAATATGTGTATTCCAGGTGGTGCAGAGGGTGGCGACTCAGTCGCATCAACCGTCGACTCCCTCCCACACTCCTCCCTCGCAGCAGTGGATGAGGTAGGTACGGTAATGTCACTTTTTATATTATTCTACCCCTTTACTGCACTGATACATCTATAGTATGCTAGCACAGGTGTCGGGCCCACGCTTTAGAACAAAAATAGCGTAACATGTCTAATGCTTTTAAATACATAGTTTTAATTTTTTCTATTAACGAAATGGTTTTGGTTTGGTTTATTTTAGAGTATGGTGTCATTGATATTATTAGTAATGACATAAGCTATTTAGATAACATTGCAATAGTGACATTATGTTATCTTGAGTATCAAATAAAATGCATACTTGATAGTAGATTAAAGTAGATTTTAAACCTGTTATTTGACGTAGAAAGAAAAATCATAAATGCGATATACATTGTAAAACTTCTATTTAATATTTACTTGGCCTCTCTTCTATTGTATTAACGATATAATTTTTCTGTGCACAGGGACCTATAATACCAGTAGCGTGAGCGAGCAAGTCGCGCCGCTACCCGCGCGCTGGGGATGAGACCATTACCAACGTAACGGCGGACTATTGACGACATATTTGTTACAACACACCCAACTACATGTGCGATATCTACGTACTCAACGTAAAACCTTACTTGTGATAACTCAACGTATAAAATTTAAATTGCGGTTCTATGTTACTATTGTTAATTTTAATAAATCACGAATGAATGTTAATTGTTCTAAATCGTTTTGTTTTAATTGTCGAACATAGTAAAGTAGGGAATTAGCTCTGAGATGGGTTTCACATGCAAGGTTTCCCGTTTCTTACGTAACACTTTATAGTTTTAAGACCGATAGCAAATTGTACGTCAAACGCTCGTCGTCTATACTTATCGATATCAAAGTATTCACATCAATTGCTATTTTATAGAACATTTTACTGTCACGTTTAGAAACACGTCTTTGATAACTAAATACTTAGCAATAGATATATTTCTATACTGTGTATGTTTCTGTCCTCATTTCTTAGTTCGCGCGCTACCTGTTCCGACACAAGAACATATTTCGATGGTACACAGTAATCAGTTCTCATTTATTCTGTTTTTATTTATAAAATTTTCGTTCTATTTGCGTTCTTATCTATCTCTGAACGATAAATCTTAAATTATTTTGTTGCTGGATGCAATGGGCATTACAGTTAGAATAATCTTTGTCGTCACGCTGTGATTATCATATTTTATATTTATCGTGAACTGACACACCAGTCGAGTATATTCTTACAAATACCACTACATTGACAAGGCATTAAACTATTAGCATTTTTTGTTCCGCTAACAAAATATTGTGTAACAGAGGTCGACGTGTAGCCGCAACCGAGTCACAAAGTTGCAATGCCATAGTGTAATAAATAAAAATATAACGTAATAAATACTTAAGATGGTTATGTCTTATAATATTTTATATTATGTGCATTATTTGTGTAAATATCATTTAGTTGTGATGTCATAACGCCTGCGGCAACTTGGTTGTGCTAACAAGTATCACATGGTACCAGCGCGAGTGTCGCAGCTCAGTATGTGTAGCGTGTGTACATTACTGTCGGTCGTGTGGCCGCGTGGTTAAGTTTTCACTGTGAGTTGTTTTAGTATAATTTCCCCCGCGGCTGTTTGTTGAATGCCTGGGTTTGTTTTACAACGGTATTGGATCTTTTTAACTTAAATATTCGTGGAGAGCTCATTCGCTATACTTCGCCAATATTTTGCCATAATATTTTTTTCTAAAATTTATTTTTTACTAACACTATCGTTTTGTATAGAGAAGTCTGATTGATATTGTGATCAGTCGTCTAAATTCTAACATATTTATATGCTTTAGAAATCGATGTTTGAAACTTTATAGAAAGTGTTAAGTGTCATTCCAAACAAAAGACAATATTGTCAGCATTTATAGATTATTTGAGTTGATTTTTGTGAAGTCGCAACATCTGTGAACTGTCCGCTTGTGAAAATTGTTATAAATTCCCGTAGTTTAGTTATTTGAAGTTTAGATTTAGTTGTGTATTCGGCTACTTACCGACTTGGAATAAAATAAAATTAGTGACTAATACATGTTCTAAAAGAATAATAGTCCGATCACTGTTTCATAGTTTCGTTTGTAACTAGGAGAGAATAATGATAGAGAGTGATTCGAAGGATTCAAGTATTTTGTTAATATTACGATGCTGACATCAATGACCATGCGATGTCGTTATAAATAAAAAACATGCTTAATATGCGACAATATTTAGCAATTGGGAGTATATAGAGTATATTATAATGAAAACTACAAACATTATTATTGCTGTGTAAAAATGTAAACCTAATATAAATGTAAATTATGTAGTATAATATAAAGCTGTTTTATGAAGTGTTCTTATAAGCATATGGAGAGTAGTTATTGTCTTTCCAATTTACGTATGTGAGCGCAGCCGAGAGCGCGGCGCACGTTGTTTATAACGTCTAGTTTGTAGTGTCCAGGTACCTCGGTATCCCTAACGTAGGAAGGAGTAATAAATTGCCTCTGACGCGTAGTTCATAAGTCCCGGTGGGCCGTGCTCTCGGACTGCGCTGTATTTTGCCTTGAATTTTTGTTTTGCCATGTGAAAATATCATGGAAGATGTTAGTTTGATTTCGATGGAGGATCAAAAATTATTTTTCCACTTGATCGTATAAATAAAGCGTGTAGTGTTAGAGGTGGGCGATAATTGTTGATTATTGATTAAAATTAGGTGTTTGTGGCATTGGATAGTAGTTGAGACGCGTTGACAACGTTGAGGACAGGTCCGCATAGCGGCAGTACGCGCGACTACTGACGACCTCGTCTCGTTAAGTGACAGGAGGACCAAAGTACCTCCCTGCGTACCTCCTCTATGCGGATGTCTGGCCCAGTAGTGGAGTGTAGTTATTGTTATCTTCGGATGTTGCAGAAATGTTTCGGGATCGCGTCGTTTGGTTCATGGGTATTTGTGATCATATTTGCATAGTTATTAAAATAATAAAAAATCTATATTATTATTATTATATAAAGTCTGTATTGAAAAGGACAGTAGTTATCTGTGTAGTTGTGTTACTGCGCGCGCCACGCTATGAGGGCGCGATTAAATCGTTCAGATATAACTGGGAAGACGTATTGGTGCCGTTGTGGCGGGATATAAATACGCGTCCAGTCATATTTGTGGCTAATTAAAGGAATAAGTTGCGGAGTCCGCAGCTGGAGTAGCTCACTGCACGTGTCGCGTGTGTCGCGGCGTGCGGCGCGCAGTAGCACGGTGTGAAGGAATACTTCCACGGCCCTCCACTCGTGCACCAACGTTAACAGCTAACGGCGCGTACCATTAGTGTAATGGTCAATTAATGTTACAGCGTCATCATTCTAACACGTTTATGTAGGAAACAAATTTGACTCTGAAATAAAAGAAGTTATTTAATTTTGGAAATGTTTGTTTCATTTTGTATCTATTTCCCAAAAAGGATTTCAAGAAACTACCACACGGTCCCTTATTAAATAAAGTTGATACATAATATATTAACTAGTTACTGAAAACCTAATTTGTTTTGAATTATTTAATGGAACAACTAATAAATAACTCTTTATGGCATCCTAAAGTTATGGAACTGAAAAAATTAATACAGTCAAGAGTTGTCAGTTTCTGACTACTAGTTTAGAATTAACTAAAGGGCAAGAAGATAAAATATTATGTATGTTCGTTGCTCACTTTACTTAGGCTGCTTACTGTAGAAATGGACCCAAACTTAACCTCTCGCGTGTCGGTACATGAGACAATAGAAAACACATTGTGTTTCGCGTAGATTTTGGCGTAGATCTACGTTCCAGCGTACCACGGGTAAGGCAATTTATTATCACTACTGACTGAGCGATTGATGTTGGTTCGATTCCCGGATCTGGCAAAATTATGCAATTATGGACAGCATGAAAAAATTTGGTCCACTTCACCGAAGGGCATTCCAACCCTGTCCATAAATTGTAAAATATATCTTTAAAATTAATCAAACCTCGGTGTGTTTGAAATTGTCGTTATTTTTTGGCTAATTTTTGAGATAGTTTGTGACCATGGGTACAAAGAATCTGTTAAAGCATGAAAAAAGAGGTATAATTTATTAATTTAATTACATAGGATCTCCAACAAAATATGTGCACATGCACAGCGCATGCCATGAAAATCATACAAAATTTTAGGTTAGGTAAGTAGTACATTCTTTCAATTAATAACATAAAAATTAAAATATGTAGTTGAGATAGAGGACAACTTGTTCACAAGAAAAAAAAACCAATGGACCAAGTAGAAAGTAGAGAAAGAGTTAAGAAACAGTTTTTTTTAAGGGGGTAAAATCATCGAAGGATTGCTCCCGCCTGGATGAGGCGGGAGGGAGTGTCAGACTCTTACTGACTAATAACCGCCCCGTTCCTTCTGCACTTCGAGCCGGAATCCCGGTAACCCGTTAGGTTCTCTACGATTCCGAATCGGCATCAGCCTTATTGGGCCCCATCAGTGGTGGTCTTATGGCTCTTTGAGGCGCGCGCGGAACGCGACGCGCCGTACGCTAGGGATTAAGAACCAGTACTGCAACAAGTCGCTTACATAAGAAAAATCTGACAGCGTTATACCTCGAGGTACAATTTTGTGGTAGGTATTAAAAAATTAAAAGCTTGAAAATAAAAACGGTACATCAACAGTCCAAAATCAAATCCCTCGTCTCCGGTTCCTGGAAAGAGACTCGTAGATGTCTAGCTCCGATTTATTTGATACCATGTTGTACTTGCTGGCTACAGAGCCTTGGCATAGCGGCGTAATGACCTACGAGTAAGTTGGTTCTTGACCTGGGTACGTGGAATAGATTTTTTTAAGGGGGGACCCTTAAAAAAATCTATTACCTAATCATCGAATAACTTCTCTCGCCTAGATGAGGCGGGAGGGAGTGTCAAACTCTTACTGACTAAAAACCAACTCGTTCCTACTCCTGCACTTCGAGTATAAACGGGACTTGTGCCCTTAGGCTTAATTCGCTCTGTCTCCTGCAGTAATTCACCGAGGGAAGTGGAAACTATCGTATTTTTCTTCTCCTCTTATAATATCTTCTGATTCACTTCGTTGCGGGAACCAAGACAGTTATTCATGTCCCTGGGACGCGCCGGACTTCAGTGTTCCGGTGTTTTCATGGTTGTATCTACTGTAGATCCTGGCTTACAGGAGTTGCAGCGGTTTTGGGAGGTTGTGGCGAGTTTGTCCCTTCCTGCACTTCGAGCCGGAGCCCCGGTAACCCGTTTATAGGTTCTCCGCGACGCGTGGAATAGATTAAAAGTGTTTTGCCTAGGAACTCTGACCTATAGCAATATTTAAGGAGACTGACAGTTCACTACAATCTATCGCTCCACTAAATATTTTGTGATGGATGACAAACTCCAACGTCTTCTTAGGACTCGCGAGTGTTCCATTTGGTAATGTTTTAGCCTATCCCCGTGACCAGAAGACTTCCTGGCCAAGCTATCTCTGTCATAAGTGATAAAGTAGCCTCTTCTGGACGCTCTCCAAGCGATATATATGTCGTAAGTAAAGAGGGTTCCACACCAACAAACAGTATTCTAAGATTAAGCGGACCAAGGTATTAAAAAGTTTTATTTTTGTACTGGGTTTTTTTAGTTCTCTGCTATTTTTCAATACAAATCCCAGCATCTTAAATGACTGAAACTATAATCAGTATGTGCGCATCAAACATCATGTACTGGCATTTGAAAGTATTGAAATTTTTTGATTTACATAATTACTGCTTTCTCTGTACATGGGGCACAAGTGCAATTGCTGCAAGCTAGGGGCAGTATTTAAGCATTAACCAGTCGTTTAGGCCAAATCAACTAGTGAGTTGATTTACCAATATAACTTGTTGGCTGCGACATAATATATTATCTATTCATTGATCAAAGAAAATATTTCGGGTTAAAAAGTAAAACAACAGAATAGTTTCGTTTTGTTTACTGACTAGCTTAACAATGATACAAATGTACAAAAATACAAAATGCGCGAATACAACTAATACAGTGGTAATTACATAGACATCGAGCGAGATTCAGCGCAGATCATTCAATAACACTTATATATAATGAGACATAATTACTACAAATCAATTAATAATGTCATAAAGTACTACATGTGATGTTAATAATTTAATTCTACAAGCTATACGTATGTAAGTATTGAAGATTACTACTAAACGAATTAAATAGACGTTGTCTATGTTTTGGGCCAAGTCATATTTCTGTCTTTCTCACACTTAATATAGAAGATATTTGTGTGAAAAGGATAGTTATATAACTTGGCCCAAAGTTCAAACGAAACATCATGGGCTTATTACGTATTTATTTAGTAATATATTTACAGTCATACATCTAAAGACATGTAGAGAGGAAGAACTTTTGTTCGGCTGACTTCTTTATTCTTTGGAAACTCCGAAATCCTTTCATTCAAGTTATTCGGTATGTTTTAAAGAACCCTGTAGCTGTTGGGTATTGAAAGTTTCAAGCAAATCCTGAATAAATTTTAGTCCTTACCGGACAAAAGTCCTTTGTCTGCACAAGCCCTTAGTGTAACAGTTGGCCTAGTGTTTACATCGGAATATAGTTTAGTATTTACATAGATATAAGTAACGGAAGTACAATGCACTTTGATAGCGTTATATGCTACATTACACAGATTATTTATTATGTTCTACAATACAAGTTTGTTTAAGACTCGTTGGTGGCTTTATGATGGAGGTGTAGTCACGAGACAAATATTTGCAGACTTCCGAAGTTCATTCAAACTTGGTTGGAAGACATGTGTAACTAACCTGTATAGTTTTTTTCGGTTCACAATGATGCTTGGTGGTTTTGAGAAAAATTGTCTGATTTCTTTCTTGTGTACTTTTGCTCGTGATTTTAGTTGATCATATACTTTCTTAAATTATGCTATGTTCCTGTGATTTTCAGTGTTAAAAGCATTTTTACGTTTATTAATTTAATCTTTATTTTCAAGCGAAGCATAGCGTTTGTTTTAAATTCCAATTATAATTAGTATAAAAAATACTGTTTTCCTAAAACTTTGGTTTGAATCGTGCCAATTAATAAATTACCGATTTATAATTTAACGAGTATCTAATTATTAGCTTTTTATATAAATCAATCTTTCGTAGGAACTTATTTATAAACATTACGTACTTAAAAGCAATATAGTCGCGGAATTGTTCATAAATATTTTTAAATAGACCTGTAGTCATGATTCTTATGAACACCATAGTACTATGAGTAGGTATGAGGTGCCAGAACCAATAGACATCGGGCATTCGATTCGGGTTAAAACCCGTTAGTCATCAAAAAACTGGTCCATCGGATCACAGAATGAATCTGCCCACAGAGTATTGTAGCACACCTACATAATAATCACTACTACATCCTACTTTCGAGTTACTTTCTCCTTAACAAATCATTCATTAGGTCACTAATGTTTGAGATGAGAAGTACAAATGTCTATATAAGTCTCTCAGTCTACTTATTCTTGTAATTCGCGGTCCAGTAAGTAATACACGAACACATCACTCAGTCACGACCACTCTACAATGGAATACTTATTGTAAAACAACAATTTCACAACATAATATCTACGCTAGACGACAATTCGCAGTTCTGAATACATAACTATCTTTACAGCGCTAACTTGTTATTACTCAGTGAGTCACCCAATAAGTTGTTTACTAATTTGAATTAACCTTGCGTGTAGTACACAATAGTATAGGATTTAACTCGTACGTGAGTACGTTGTTATATTATGCGTCAACAGATTGTTGAATACGGTCTGTGTTTACCGTTAGATTACAAATCAAACAGCGCTCCTCGGTGACTCATCCGGACATCTTCAATTAAATCATCTTAAATATCACAGAGGTATTAATAACATAATTCAGTCGGTGCACAGATCACCGTGCTGTGCCTAATACGTGCCCTTTCACGGTCGACATGGGAACGACACATGCAGAAAATAGCTGTATCAAAATAATACGCGGGAACATTTTGTTCGCAGTTGTTTTCTAAATGTGACGTCAGTTATAAGCATTGCAGTGTCTGACAGTGAAGAGAAAATATCCAGCTCGATAGCCACTAATGGGCGAGGCGCACATCGTATGCAAAACGTATGCGACGATATTTTAATCCCGATCCTGTCAGGACGCGTCGGGCGCGCTGATGTGTGTACCGACCTTAACACTTACAACTACGGTATAAAATGTATTCTAGTTACAGTTTGCGACACGAACACCGGACGAATGTAATTTCTTCATCGTAGTGTTGATCACAGGCAGTGTTGGAATGGAATATTGGACTGGAGAGGGGCCCCGATGACAGCAGTTCGACTCATTAGTGCTGAGTCGAGTGATTCAGGTGTTCTTAGCTGAAGTGTTGATACTTTCACAATTAGTAGTCATCTCTTTAGGCTCCCAGGTCCGCTTGACCCTGATCTTCAGTCCTTGATGATTCAGCCAGCAGGTAACACCTATGGAGAAAAAATACTTTAATATATGAGAGAAGAACGCGTGCCTGCGTGACTCAGAGGTTATGTGACGCGCGCTGTGACTCAATCTTGTTAGCCACAAATAATGGACTACTATTGGGTAGACATATGCCTTTATGACAAATCTATAGCTATAAGGATTTGTTGTTCAGGATATGAGTGTTTAAAGGAAAACGTTATTGTACACATAGAATGTTTTCAGGACCACTTCAGGCCCGATTGTAAACATCCGTTGCAAACCTTTTGAACTTCAGTGAAGTTGATATCTATATTTAATCAATAGAAGGATGTTATTAAACGGGTTAGACAGAACCGGCACAAAATTTCCTTTATTCTTCTATTGTTTCAAAAACAATATCTAACAGAAAATAAACTTTCAAAGAAATACTATTTTATAATGAAAGAGAATAACATTCGTGAATGTCGTGTGAACTTTTTAGAACACTTTTGTGTCATTGAGGTAAAAGGAAAACAAACCGTGTAATTTCCCAAGCTGTGACCGGTTGTATACAGTTATTGACTATTAGACAATAATACTGCATTGGAAACACCACAAAAAGTACAATAATAAGGGTCTGCTAGAACAACATATTGTGAAGGTAGTATGAGTATCTACATCGCCTAGGTTTATGCAAGGTTCGAATAAAACAATAACGATGACAAATACCTAAGTATGTGCAATCCCATATACCATGAATGCACAGTTATATTAGCCAAGCTATTTACATATGGGAATATAATAATATTACAACGCCTAAGTAATGTTACACAAAGATTATCGTAATGAGAACACGTTACGTTCATTCATAGAGCGGTTAAGAAACAATCTATGAATAAATGATTAGAATAACCCATTCGAAGTACAGAATATACACTCAATGGTGAACCGAATCCAGTTCAGAACTGCTGGTTCTATAAAACCAGAAATGCTATAATAATAAAAACCGGTGAAACAGCTGTAGCTGTAAGCAAGTCATCGATTGGTAGATGATGTAAGTATATAAAAAGGAGTACTGTGTGGTTACTTTGTTGGTCCGTTTGTGATACAAACATGTCCCTTATTAGATGAAGCATCCTGCGTACAGGTCAGGACCTCTTATCGGTCTCATGTATCAAGTGGGCAGTGAGCTGTGGACGCATAAAATGGCTGGCATTCATTCCTAAGGTAGGAGTTCGATCGTCGCGTACTGTGACTTGTGATACCGGTCGAATGATCTGCTCTACCGTGTTGTTATTGGGAAAGTATATCTACTGCTTGCAATCTTTTTGCAATGACTATAATTATGTTCGATATAGACTATATTTGTGAAGCATTCGTTTCTAAAGTAGTCTGATTATACTAAATATTCATTGGATTAGGAAGGTTATTTTTTTAGACTAGAACCAAGACAGCGTGTTAGTTACACGGTGCGGACCTGCATATGTACCTAGTAATGCAATAATCACCAGATAAGTCAGTCATTTTCAACAAAATCCCGTTACTTCTACCTAAGTCTCTGTGATTCACTTTAGGAAGGAACTTTATAAATGACTTACAAACCGCAATGTGTCGTGTCTTAGTTCACCTTTCCTGTGTCCTATAACGGGCAACGTTTTGATTTCGTCAGCCGTTCTATATCGGTATTATGATCATTTTAGCTCGCCACCGGCTCATCGCGAGCAACTTAACTAAATATTAATGTATGATGACCCTAATTATTGAGAAAGTTTAAATAACAGTAGCAGTTATGTGATGTGACGGAAATGTGCAAAAGTTGAATCATATTTTATTTCCGAACTTACGTAAAACAATACGTTTATCATAATTGTTATATAGTTGCAATTCACGAATGTTGTCTAGTTTCTACTTTCTTTATTTTTTACTGAATATAACTGTTAGTGATTAGTGCACAAGAGCTGATTACCGTTACTCTAAATCTAAAGTAGGTACACAACACAATAATAATTTCAGCAACAGTACCTACAATATTGGTCAGTAATTTTTTGTCGGTCAAATGGCAATGAACTTATTTGTGATCAATTGACAGTAACGAGCATTGATGAGCTAAAGAGATTAGCAAACTGCTTGGGGATAATTTAAATGAAGGTCTACAGACGTATGTGGAGGCAACTAGGACAAAATGTACTACTAACGAGGTTAGTTAAATAGTTGGATCTTGTGAATTGTGTGTTTTGGGCAAAATGTAACTTCTATCAAGCAAATAGGGACCAGAAGACTGAAATCTACAAGTTTTTGTTTTATATTGTTCACGTACTGACCTAAAGATTTTCCTCTAATACCCACTAAGTAAAGAAGTTTTAGAAAAACAATATAATTAATTAGAAATAAAATACCTATTACCTCATACAACATATAGGTTTTATTCATTCATAATAATATTGAAAAACAGGAAAAAGATGTGAAAACGTAATAAACTAGTTGTCTTACGTATGTTTTATGATGCGTCAGAGAGTAAATAACTATACATATGATAGATAAGTAGGTATATAGGTAACCTATACTAGGTAAAACGCAAATAATAAATGTACCTTTATTTGTAAAGGTAGGTATAGAGAAGTACAAGTAAATGTTCTAACATTTTATAGTAATGTTACATTGCCGTATACAAGGTGGATGTCAGTCATTTACAATAGAAAGATTGCAAGGAAAAATAACTGACAATGTACCTACAGGTTGATGCTTTATATATTTCATTAAACGGTGAATGCAAACGATGAAAAAAGGTAACGTAGGTTAACGTGAACGCTGAAGTAGTGAGGTTTAATCTATCGTCTAAGTATAATCTATTTTCTTCTAAAGGTTCTGGTTGTGTGAAATAAAGTGAAATAAAACTGCAATGAGCTCTACATTTTGGTAATATAATATGATTGGACAACACCAAATATAAAGAGTACTGTCAAAACCTACAGTGCGCTGATAGATGAATGGAAAATTCCCGAACACAAGTTACAATAACATACTAAAACCATCAGTTATTTATGTACAGTGTTGTCAAATAAAGCAGCTGCCACAAGTAAAATGTCTTAATGAATCATGTTATGTACACCTTTCAAATTACATTAGAAGTTATCGAGAAGCCGCGATCGGTGATTCACTGCAGGTAGTCGCTTCGTGCAAATTGTTAAGATAAATATCACGCTGCATGTATATATGGCGATGTTTGAATTATTAATTGTATAAATGTTAGGTACTCTACAAGTCTACAACTAACAAGCAAATGATTTACAATTGTAACTATGCGAAACTACGTCTTGTTAGCGTAGGATTATTAGAAAGGTTTATCTTGTGTTGCGAAGCTTTAAACATACCCCCACACAACTCATACACACACACAAATGCTAGTTAATTGTTTCTTAACATGACCACGACATCTTAATACGAAAAGTTCCTTTCAACTATATAAATATCTAACTCTAAGTACGATTAACTAAAAATCGCGGGTTATTTACATCAATATACTGAGAAAAGCTCTGCTCGTTTCGAACCACAGAGGGGTTCTTCCTCACGTACAGTGGGCGCGGTCGCGGCGATGGCGCGTGCCTACTGAGGTCTGTGGTTCGAAACTAATAGAGCTTTTCTCAGTATATTCACGTGAGTAACCCGCGATTTTTAATTAATTTAGTATGTCTCACGATAGTTTAAGTACGATTGTTCAATAAAAAATGTTGTTAAAAGAACGTAAAAGAACTAACAGTGCTAGCCATTAAGGCTAAATCAACAGACAAAGAGAGAACTGCATACACCAATCCTTTTAATAAAAAAAAGAATTGAACCTCTCTTCATTAGCTCTGTATATACACCACACAATCTAACTGCTTAATACCAGTGTAAATACCGCAGTGAAGCCATTAGCTCAGACTTCGTACTAAGTTATCTAAACCTTACGTAGGTGGCTCACAGCAGTTGCTCAACTGTTGTACGTACAGTTATTGCTAAATTAATATCGTGAAGTGGTACACGGTGTCGACGACGTCAATTTCTTAGAACATTTACTTCGATATCATTTTCGTGTTAAATTAAATTTCCTGGATTGAAACTGGTTTGTGGTGTGTGGTAGATAGGTACCTTCTATGTATGTTTTGCTATTGTATTTTTTAATATCGTTTGAGAAACCAGTTTTATTTGTGAGTCAGTCGAATACGTCATTACAACTAGAGGATCTTTATTTTATTTCCTTCCTGGTTTCCAGTAAATACGTACGTATTATTTTATTTGAGGTAGAAAACATTTAAACTGTCTATTGGTTATAATTATATTTATTCCTTATTTTTTGATATATGATGATTTATATATCTATTCTGTGTTTAAACACCCTTTAACAAGCTCTACTGGATTAAGTTATTGACAGCACATTGGTTAGCCTTAACAATAAATAGTAAAGTTCGGCTTAACATTGACCTGAAAAATTAAGATTATTTTTAGTAGGTCAACTTCTGATCAAGAAAATTGATTGAACCTTGATTCTGATAAACAATGAATAACTGGTTAAGCTTTGAAAACAAAACCGTAATGTTTCATTCATGTGTTGTAAAAAAAACATTGTTCAAGAATATAGACCAGTTATCAGCAGCAATACATTGGCAATGACACTCAAAAGACTACCACTGCAAAACGTGTCATTGCTCTGACGCAAAATTCTCCTCAATCGGGCCAGATGACAAAGGAAGCATAGGAACTATACCTACACAAACCTACTTATAGGAGATAATGGGAGTATAGACTCAATAATTATATTATTTATTAATTGAATGAATATTTTTATTGATAGTGCATGACGTGGAGTTTGTTTGCACTTGAATGTGGTATGCCACTTTGATAAATTGAAATATGCTTGACTTTGTGAGCTGGACCTACATAAACAGTTTTGATGAGTACCTATTGTACTTATAGTGATATAGGGTATTTCCATACAAAACATGAATGGTGTTCATTCATACTTTAATTGGGTTTTTACGTGGAAATTAATAACACGAATGAACGTTCATTTACGCACGCGTTTACCTACTACAACGAAAAAATAGGGAAATTAATTAAACTTGAGTATATTTTATTCTATTTGTCAACATCAAAACAAACATTAATGGTAATGTGTTATTACTTATTACTAATGGATTTGAAAGTGAAAAACAATAAATCAAAGATACAAAAACCTAGAACTACAAAATGGAAATTACTGGTCAATCTAAAAGGAATAAATTAATCAAGCATGACTAGGAGTCATCAGCAACCGATTACAATCAGGTTTGGACACAGATTTCTTCCGCGAATAGGTGACTAACATCGAGTGAAATAAGAAGTCAATGCTAAGGTTACATTAGAATGAATCACAGTTCTTGATAAACAGAAACAGTTATGTAATCTTATCTTACTTACTATTATAAATGAGAATGTTTGTATTTGTTACTCAGTCACGTCAAAATGGCTGAAGGGATCAGGATGATATTAGGAACAGGGGCATATTAAGGTCTAGAATAACTCATAGGTAACACTTTACCCTACGGGAACGCGAGGAATCCGCTCGCAGAAGCTTATGTTTCTTTATCTGTCTGGGTTATGTTGTAAAACGATTTAAATACGAGGTTAACAGCTTGAAAGTTCATTCTAGTTATTGTTATGAGGTGCACAGCTATAAAACTTCATGGTGCATTTACGGGTCATTCAGGAATGGAAGTAAAAGCGTGTATTGTATGAAGATGGTCATTCGGACGGACGTTTATATGGGCCTAGAAAGTGTATGCATAAGTTCTATATTCTTTCTATCTATACTTCAAAGCATTAGGTACTAAAATGCAAAAACTACAGATTGAATTTGAAGAGGAATAATCACTGATAGTGCATAGTATCTTACGTATTCATTCTTGATGTATTGTTTAACAATTTTAAGAAAATTATTGTTTTCGGGTTCTTTAAATGCAACGAAAAGAAGACGTGACTCAATAAGTACACGAGCAATTAATAAATCACTAAGTAATTCAACAATACTTATACCATTAGGCCTCTTTACGTCTCTATGCGTTCTACAAACTAAATATAGGCAGACCTATACCCATTTTAGAGAAACATTAACTTGATACTAAATTGCTTGCACTTGCCACTTGCTCGCAAGTCCATACAACCATGTCAAGGTGCTTGCAGCCTAAATAAATTATATGATAGTAGCAATCAACAGTCATAAGATCAGATTTAGTTTATCACTAAAATTGGGATCATTGTTTAGTATTGAACTGATTGATTACGTATTGCTAAGTTTGTTTTGCGAAGTGGAATATTCCTTTGGTTTCAATTTTAAACTTGAAACCGAATGAAAGGTTTTAGAGCGGTTTAAATTAAAAACAAATTAAAGGTTTTAATGTTTTAAAAATGATAACAAGAGAAACTATTCGAAAGGTATGTTAATTATATCTATTGGATTTTAAAATTGATGTAGACTTTACCTTATAATATAAATTGTTTATGTTTTAATTCACAAAATTAAATTAGCAATGAAGCTACCAGCCGGTTGTTTTACTTCTTGGTGGTCTAGTAGTGATGTCGTAAAGTTGATTAATGATTTTAAATGTCAGTTTATAATTGATGACATGGTATATTATAAATAGCCAATAATAATTATGTATGTTTATTGATACAAATCATACTATTAATATTGCAAATACGTCTCGCTTGGTATAATCAATTGGCTAATGATATTCACCTAGTTATTTTTTTATTAGTTTTAATGAAACCTTGTTATATTTTATTCCTTGTATTATTTTGATTATAATACAGCTATTGTAATTGTAGTTTTAGCTAATTGTAACCCTAAAGACAAAAAAATATGTGTTTCATTGATTGCTTGTTTGTTTTAATGATATTTTTTATCCATATTACTTATTCTCGTATGTAACTCAGTAAATAAATGGTATTTCCCTATCAAAATGTATTGTTGACGTTGAGTAGTCCTGATGCGTCAGGTATATAACAATATTGTTGTATGACTAATGACTTAAAATGGCGAAAATTGGGCGTGCCCACTATTTCTGGGAAAAAACAGGAATGGTTTATTTTCGATTATCCTGTTAAAATAATAAATCCGGTGTGGCTACTATATACCTAGATAGATATAATAATTATAATATATTTTAGTAGGTAAATCTCAGAGGAAAATAATTGATTGATGAACACGTGTGACTAACGTGGAGTTTTAATAAGTTATTATCCTCCGGTATTTGCTACTACTGATTGAATTTTAACAAAATATGTCAGATCATCAAAGACAGGAGGGTTATTGATACTTTTTACAGGATTGAAAGGCCTTTACATTGACATAATCCATACATATAGTATTTACGCAAAGTTTCATGTGTAATGACGTACGGAAGTTTCCATTAGCGGGATAGTGAGTAAATTAGATGCGTTGTGTCGCGACACTGGCCCACGAGAACGTTTAGTTGCCGATGACCTCGCCATCTCGTTCTGGTGACACGCGTATCTAGTACCAAAATGCTTTTATGTGAAGATAGAAAAGTTTTGTTTCGTCGTAATAAAAACAGGGGTTTTATTCATAAAGTAGGTGTAAATATAGCTTTTGCTAGCAACTTTGTTATCATTCAGACATGTTTTTCCTCGTTTTCGTTTGTATTCCGGGAAATCCTCTTTCAAATTTCGTTATCAAATGCAACAGTGTATTGTGTGCAAGCCTTTAATGGCGACCTAATTTGAACAATCATCAACAGCATATAAGCGGTCACTGCTGACCAAAGGCCTCTTCCGGAACGGAGAAGGTTTGAGCATTAATCACCACGCTTGATTAATTTAGTATACTGGCTATTATTTCATAATTCTTGTAGAGATTATATATGTAATTCTAAATAAACTGTAAGTAGATATATTTTGGAATCATCCCAAGTTTTACTTAAGGAAAACAATTAGTTTTCATGAAAGACTCAGCTATTACGTAAGGAAGACGGAGATAATAGGCTACCAATAAACAATTCTAATATACATAGGTAAATAACAATACGCATCTTCATTTTGGTTGACGCTTGTGATCTATGAGTAATAGTTAGGAAAAACGTATATCCCTTAGCGACTTACGTGTGTTAACCACATCATATTACGCTCGATGTAACAAAACATAGTTTATAGCCATAGGAAATATTCATTAAATTAGGGATCGAAAGAAGCCTCTATTAAAATTACTCATCACCATGAAAAAGTAATCATTTGATAACTGGAGCACATTTTAAAGCATTACCTACTGATTTACTACCATTCAACGTGCTGCCAGTCTTTTGGGCTAGGGTACCTACTACAACGATGAGAATATTTTTATCGATGCCTATAATTCATCGCTGAACATAATATTACATTTTGAAAGATATTTTAAAATAATATATGTAGGTACTATATTCGAGTGGGTGTTAAGTAGCCTACATTCAGTAGCACTCATTTACAAGCTAA